GTTAGATAATATTAAGGAATTGTTAATTTTGTTAGGAGTGATAATGGTATTGTATTTATATAAGAAAGGGGTATAGGGGTTTTTTAGGTATTCAAAAGTAGAGTGAAATAAAATTATGTCAAGATTTGCTTTAGGTTACTACAGGAAAAAAAAAGGAATTTAAAGGGAAAAAGGATAAATGAAGCAAGTATGGCAAATTTTTTAGATCTCTTGAATCTCAGGGAGTCATTATACTAATTTTTCTACTTTCATGTATATTAGAGACTTTCATAGTAAAAAGAGAAAATCTAAAATTATTTGCAAAAATAATATATTTATTAGTACATATTTCTTTCTGTTCTAGCCTTTATCGCAGCATATTGTGTTTGTCTGTATATTTGTCTAGCCCAGTATTTCTCAAACTATCAGTTTTGAAAGACCAATTTTTTAGTTGTCCAATGTATCACAGACCATGACTTTTGTAATATGCAATAAAAACCAATTAACAGAAAAACAAAATGGGGGGAGGACATACAAAATAAAACTTTAAAATTTTTTATTATTGAAGTCAACAAACAAGTGGGGGAATAAGGACACATATGTAACACCTTAATCAATAAAGAAATTTAAAAAATTAAATAAAGTTAACAGATTACATTTCACTTAACAATCAGTACAAATGCAAACATGGGGGAAATTTTTTTAATATATAATTTTATTTATTTCAGAGAGGAAGGGAGGAGAGAGAGACAGAAACACCAATGAGAGAAAATCATCAATTGGCTGCCTCCTGCACGCCCCCTAATGGGGATCGAGCCTGCAACCCAGGCATGTGCCCTTGACGGGAATCGAACCTGGGACCCTTCAGTCCGCAGGCGGATGCGATATCCACTGAGCCAAACCAGTTAGGTCAGGAATAAAACAATTTTTTGAAAACCGAATCCATTCATCAAAAATGCACACATAGGCCATGAGTGTAGACGAGCTGTGACACATTTGTGTGTGTCTCTTTGCATGTTAACTTGAGGTCCTGGTTTATTAACTGGAGCTTGGATTGATAACAGTGCCCTTTGCTGAGGATAGTGTGTACCTAAATGGTTTTACTGGCAGCCACAGGTTTTTGCCTCAGTTATTTCTATTGATTTCTCAACAGAGGTATAGTTTTGAAGGCTACCTACACTGCAGAATCATAAAGAATGGGGAAGATAATAGATATGCTTGCTGTAATACTTGATGAGATTTTTGCTTTAAGGGGTGAAATACCACTTCTTTAAATAGTTGGTTTCTTAATCTCTGGAATGCAGCTGTTGTCATTTTTCTCACACTGTTTGTTATGCATTTGTTGAGATGTGATGACTGTGACTCTACATGATAATTTTAGGCTCAGATGTACCGTGCCTTTGTTTTTCCAATAATACCCTTCTTGCCAAGTGTTAAAGCTTTTTTCCCCCTTGGCTGTGGTGGTGCCAGTTTTTTACTGACTGCTTCAAAAAGTATCAATTGCTGTAGATTCTGTTGTGCTTCCCAGGACTCATTTTGTAGGCAACAGTTTGGTTTTGTTTTTTCCATATGCATTAATCCATACTTGTTCACATTGGATCTGGTAGGTTTCTCTGTTGCCAAAATTTCAAAAATATTTTCCAACAATGAACATTGACTCAACATTTTCAACAGTAGAAATTTTGTCTGTCATTTGTCTAGGAAATAACTGCCTCGCTGTAATAGGATTTGGTGTGGAATCATAGGGAATCCTATCTAATAAAGAAGGAATATGCTAATTGACCATCACTCTGTCACAAAGATGGCTGCACCCACAGCTGAGGCCAACTTCCCATAAGGAGCCTTAACAAGCAATCAGCAGGGACCTGAGTTTATGCCCTCCCCCTCCCCGCCCCCGTAGGGCTTGACAGGGGACCTCAGGCTGTACCCCCCACCTGGCAGGGCTTGACGGGACCTCAAGGTGTGCTTCCCGTCCTGGTGCTGGGCTAGGGGACCTCAGGCTGCTCCCTTCACCCCAGTGCCAGGCCAGGGGACCTCAAGCTGCGTCCCCCACCAGGTGGGGCTTGACAGGGGACCTCAAGGTGCACCACCATTGCTGGGTCAGGGGAGCTCAGGCCACAGCCCCCGCCCAGCAGGGCTTGACGGGGGACCTGAGGCTGCGCCCCCCCCCCCCTCCCAGTGCTGGGCTAGGGGACCTAAGGCTGCCCCTTCCTGCCCCCGCCTGGCAAGGCTTGACAGGGGATCTCAGACCATACCCCCCATCCTGGTGCTGGGCCAGGGGACCTGAAGCTACACCCCCTGCCCTGCAGGGCTTGACAAGGTTGGGACTGGCTGGGTCTGGATCTAGCTCAATGGGGGGGCGGGAGTGGCCGGGTCTGGGTCTCACACGACTTTGAGGTGCATGTGGGTGGGTGAAGACTTGACTCTGGGTCCCATGGTGTGCCCCAGACTCTGACAGGAGGAAGATTTTCATATACATTTTACTAATTTTCTTTCCTCTCTGACACTTATATTATAGAGAATAGCAATATTAAAATATTTCCTCTACTTAATCCCCTTTTAATGTGCACGAATGTCATGCACTGGGTCACAAGTATATTACTAACTAGTCAAAAGAGATTCTAATCTCCTCACAGAAAACCTTGTATTCCCTCATTAAGTTTGGCCCACAGGTCCAACCCTTCATTATGGTTTTCCCAATTCATCCAGTATACTAGTAGAAGGAGGCTCAGATATACTCAGGAATAGAAAGCAAGGGGTCTACTTGCCAGTTTACTTAGACCATATAGTTTGGACATTTTGACTAAAAATCCAGCATATTTGTTCTTAAATGACCCTTTTTGCCTTGCAGAATGATGGATGGCTACTATGTGAGCTCTGTAAAGGCAAAGGGAAGATGTGATGAGCTGATGGTTTCAGTTTGTGATAATAGCCGATATAGAAGAATATACAAAATGTCCAACTAAATTTAACTTGTAGAGTTAAACACTAATATAACTTGTAGAATATAACACTAACAGTCCATGTTTTGTAATGCTGTTGATGGAAAATTTCATGATAGCATCCGGATAATACCTTAAGTAATTAAGTATTTAAGTACTATACCTACAGTGTTTTGTGCACAGTGCTAAGCATTGTGGGAAGTACAAAGAAGAATGATATTGTCCCTACCCTCAGGAAGCTTTAATGAAGGTGTTTTTTTATTTTCTGAAACACTGTATTAGAAGTGGGGCTGTGTGCATATCCAGGCTTGAACACATGTTGGGGTAGTTATGATATAGTATATGCAGATAAAGTGTGAGGCAGTGTGTTATAATTGATGAGTTCAAGGAAGAGAGATTTGAAGTGATTTATTTCTATTTGAAGTGGCGAGGGACTGTTTAATATCAAAGTGGCATTTGCATAGGGTTTGAAAGGATGGTTATGATTTTAACAGAAATTTAGTAGAGAAGCAGCTTGATATAGTAAAAAAAAATTTTTTTTCTAAGTTTGTAGTTCCATATCATCCATCCACCTATTAAATATATGAAGTCAGCCAGGTTACTTAATTCCTCTGATCTTCAGCTTCCTCAAATATAATATTTAGAAATTAGAGTAATAGTTATCATAGAGGGGTGTTAGGAAGATTGAGATACTGTGATGTGAACATGCTTTATAAACTGTAAAGGGCTGTACAAATGTTAGTAAATTTTTTAGTAAATATGAGGATGACACGAGCCAAAGGCATGGAATTTGCAAACAATAAACCACATAGTCTAGAGCAGAAAATGTGTGAAGTGCTGAGACTATTGATTCGCCTGTACAGTTCCTTACTTGGGAAACTAATTAAAAAGAAAAGCCTGTCATGATTTATGTTGCCCTCTTTTCCTCAAAAGATTGTTTCAGAGGCCTTTAAGATCTTCGGGTAAAACTTGTATGAGTTGCATATTTATTTTAGTTTTATTAAATTTATATAAACGGAACTTTCAGGTAAACTGCTTTAATAGAGATTATAACATTGCACAGAGGGCTAATGTATCTTGCAAAGTATTTTTTTTTTTTAGGGAACAGAGTCTCTCATAAGAGTGCTTGGTTCCAAGAACAAGTCTGTGTGACTTGTTCTTGGGTAGATCCGAGTTGCTCCATTTAACAACAGGGTGTGAGTTATTGAAGCTACTTCCAAGGACCACTATATCTCATGTATAATAACTACATAAAATTATTTTTTTAAAGAATGATAAACTTGCTTAGCCAGTGTAGCTCAGTGATTGAGCTTTAACCCAGGAACTAATTCAATTCCAGGTCAGGGCACATACCCAAGTTGTGGGCTCAATCCCCAGTAGAAAGCCTGCAGGAGGCAGCTGATTGATGATTTTTATCATCAATGTTTCTATCTATCCTTCTCCTTTCTCTCTCTAAAAATCAATGAAAAAAAAATTTTTAAACAAAGAAAAACAACCTTGATTGATTGGATGTCGAAGAATTGTTCATGTTCTTTGTTTTACATAAATGTTATTTTTTAAATGTGATTAGAAATATTCAGTACTCAGTAAAACTTTTAAGAACATAGAGAGTGCTTGGGCATAAAGTGAATATTATGCCACTTACTATTGTCTCATCTTGGACTCTTCATTTTTCTGTATTCTAGTGAAATATGATTGGAATTGCTTTTCTTTTTTTTAATATATTTTATTGATTTTTCACAGAGAGGAAGAGAGAGGGATAGTCAGAAACATCGATGAGAGAGAGACATCGATCAGCTGCCTCCTACATACCCCCTACTAGGGGTGTACCCGCAACCAAGGTACATGCCCTTGACTGGAATCGAACCTGGAACCCTTGAGTGTACAGGCCTAGCTCTATTCACTGAGCCAAACCGGTCTCGGCTGGAATTGCTTTTCTTAAGACAAGAAACTTGGAAAACAGCATGGTATTTGAACATGAACTTTTAGTCATTATAAAAGCTTTTTGATGGGGGAAAAAATTCCAAATCCCAATGTTTAGGTCATTTGAAATATTTTAAATTCTCTCTTCTTTTACAGACTATCTTGCTAATCACGGCCGGTTAAATGAGTCTGAGGCCAGGCGCAAATTCTGGCAAATCCTGTCTGCTGTTGATTATTGTCATGGTCGGAAGATTGTGCACCGTGACCTCAAGGCTGAAAATCTCCTGCTGGATAACAACATGAATATCAAAATAGCAGGTAACTGGGGCGCAGCTGGCTCTAATGTGAGTCCTTGTGCTGGGTGTTTGCAGAAAGAGAACTACTGGCAGAGATTTGGAGCATTTCTACTGATGACATCAGGCTTTCTTAAAAAACAAGTGGTTTTATTCATTTCCTTAGAAATGTATGCAAGGAAAAGAAAGGGAAATGGATTTGTTATTAATGTGCACAGTGGCAGGGCTATAGCTGGTATCTCATTTGTATCTTTGGTCTGATTTGTGTCCAGGTCCATTTGCGGGCCCTGCCAGAAAAGAGGGATGCTAGGTCTACAGCAGCAGTGCTGGTTGCTGAGGCGAGTGTCTACATGAGGTTACAGTCAGGGAAAACGAAAAGGGAGGGGTGTAGGTTGATACAGGAGGAGCAGGTAGGCCAAGACCAAGATGTGAAGGTTCTTGAGTGCCATGAAAAAAATTTTAGAGTGTATTATGTAGATCACAGGAAGTTAACCTATTGAACATTTAGGGTGGGGACAGGGGTGAAATGGGATTGGGATGACAGATTTGCATGTTAGAATGATGTCTCTCTCTGGCAGCAGAATAAAGACAGGTGGGACATGTGAATAAGACAGGAAGATAATAAATAAGGACTCTAATGCAGTAGTCCAATCAAGAAAATGTGGGTCTGACAATAGTGTGGTGAAGGCCTGGGGCAGGGGCAGGGGTGGGCTAGAAGGGGACCAATTGGGGGGGAGGGGGGAGCAGCTGTAATACTTTCAACAATAAAGATAAATTTAAAAAGAAAGAATAAGTGAAAATGTGGGTCTGAAGTAGAGGTGAAGCAGAAGAGATTGTAGGATGAGATGAATGGAGGGAGATTTATTTTGGGTAGTGTTTTGAAGAAGGTAAGGGGCATGAAGCAAAAGCTTAACAACATTGCAAATGATGGTGTTTTGTTCTAGGATTATTAAAGAGGAGCAAGGAGACAGATGAAGCCTTGACCAAGAAATTCTTAGTTGACCAGTGATGTTAGATATTCAATGGAGAAAGTTTAGGGAGAAAACAACTCCTTGGGGTATAAAATAGAAGTTAAAAGCCTCTGATTTGTTCATTTTACTGGTTTATGTTTATACCAGTTCCCATTAATTTTTGTCCTGAGCATTTTGAGGAAGGTACATAATTAGTTTTTATTTACTTTAACTTTACTTATTGTTACTTTAATTTTAATAATTAATTTTAAATGCCAATGTTACATATGTTACAAGGAGGTAATGAATGGATTTTCTATTCTGCAGTCTGTGATTTTTTTAAATCATGGGATCGCCTGAATAAGACAGTATTTGATAAGACAAAGTTTATTTGCTATATTCCCACTTTATATTTATTATAAAGAATTATATGATTTGTCATTTTTGTTTTGAAAATGCAGTCTCCTACATTAGTGTCTCCATAGTTTCTTATGTGTGTTCACTTCTCCCATTTGTGTTTTTCCTGTCTTTGGCCCTTCCATTTGCACTTTCATTTCACTCCTTTTTGCTGACCTTTTGTAATGCACGTCCCTGGAATTTTTGTTTACTTCTCTTTGAAAACATGTGCTGCCCTCAAATTGCCCTCTTCAGAGTTGGCTCTTGTTTTGTGAAGTCCTTATTCTATAGAAAGGAGGGGGAAGCCCCTGCTTCACCTTTGCATTCATTTATCACTAACACAAAACAGAATCAAAAGACAGTAATACCTTAGAGGAGTTTTGGGAGTGTTTTCAGGCAGAGAAAGGTTAGAGGTGTGAGTCATATGGAATTACAGAGTTCTGTCAGAACTTCTCAAAAGAAAATGTCCAATAGAACCAAAGAAACTTGGAAACAAACCATACTCAGCTCTACCTGGCTATCATATGTCTATAATTTCTAGGAATGTTGGTAGGTAAACTCAGTATTTCTAATGTCATTATGAGATCTCTAGTTTTTGTTTGTTTTTGCGGTTTTATTATTTTTTAATATCTAAACTTTAAAGCCTTCTAATTTTTATCTAGAAGATCAGTAAAATGTCTGTTAAACTAGTATAACAGCTAACATATTGAGCCTTCACTATGTTCAGGTATTCTGCTAGGTACTTTATCATTTAGTCTTAGCAACCCTAGAAGCTGCATAGCTCTTGCCAGTTTTCAGGTGAGAAAGATGAAATACAAAAAGATTAAATGACTTGCCAAGGTGACTCAGATAGTAAGTACCACACCTGGAATCCAAACCTAGGTCTCTCTGACCACAGCGTGTATTTCTTCCACTGCACCATGTGATTGTTTCCAAGCGTCGCCAGTTATCCCTCATGGGGTACTCACTAACTGAATTTTGATGTCCTTGATGCCATGCCTCACAAGTATACACACACACTGTATCTAAGCACTCAGATATCTTCTTGCCCACATTTTTTTTTTTTTTGTCATCTTCATCACCACTTACCACAAATTTTAGTAAGTGTTTATTAAGCATCTATTATGCTCCTGAGCTAAGTCTTAGAGATGCAAATATTTCAAGACAAAATGACAGCAATGCAATAAAACTCAACTCTGCTCTCACCTTAACACATTGAGCACCCAGCCTGTTTTATCTCCCAGACGGAAGTATAGTGTCAGTCACCGGTGACTGACTGATGTGAAGGAGTTAATCCAGAACTAGACCTTTAAGTCAATATAACACAAAAAGTTGTTGTAAAGGCTCGGAGAAAGACTGGCTCTGCCTTGAAGGAAGTATTAGCTAAGGCTTGCTTAAGACATCTGTGGTGGGACAGTGAGAGTGGGTTGAAGGGGTGAGGTAGGGATGCAACTCCAAGCAGACGGATCAGCATGTGCAAAGGCAGGCAGGCCAGAAAACTCAAAGTTTGCAGGGAAACTACAGAGCAGACCTAGTGGGATGTAGGTGCCCGTGAGGAATGATAGGTAAGAAGCCTGCACAGGTAAGCAGAACCAGATCATGAGGGATTCCACATGCCATCAAAGCTTAGTTGTGCTCCAGTGCTGTGAAAGAACTTCTCCGGGAAATTTATGTATATCCATAGACTTTATAACTTTATGGCTCTGCTTTCTCTAAAAATATCTTTCTTTTTCAGAAGATTCTTCTTAAAATTTAAAGAAATCTAACACAAGTAGGAAAGATTGGGCTCCATGGAAAAATTGCAAGAACCCAAAATAAAATATAAAATTATTCTCTCGGTCTCTGTTTAGTCTACTTATGACGATCTCTTTAATTGCTAAATGGGTTGAATAAATTAACTGTTTTAGCCATCTTATATGTTAAAATTGAAGAGAATAGCAAACCAAAATTAGGTTAACTTAAACTATTCTGTTTTTGTCTCTGTTTATAAAACACAAACCGACAGTTCATTTTAATAAATACAGAAACATGGTTTTGAAATCAGCATCTACTTTATGTTTCAGTGGGCAAAGACACCAGACAATGATGAACCATGGGCTTATCCACACCTGTGTACGCTCGGTGCCTCAATTATGAGACCTCCAGCCTTCGCAAATTATGAGTGTTATGACAGTCAGAGTAAGAGGCAAAATGCAAAGAAATAATTGGTTTTCATTAGTATTAGTACTTGGAGTACTCTTTTCTCATAGCTATTTTTGCTGTAATTATTTAAGTATAAAGTTGAAAATAAATAGATGAAGGATATTTAGTTTTATTCTTTAACTTTCCTAATCTGAAATGTTAGCAATAAATAGTTAGATAAGGATAAAAATGTATGAATTACCTGAAGGACGTTTTCACAAATATCACAGTTCAAACAAGATTCACGTAAAGAGTGTAGATTTGGTATCAGGCAGGTCAGGTGCAAATTCTGGCTTTGTGGCCTTGGGCTGATTATTTAAGCTCTTGGAGTTTAGGTTTCCATATTTGTTAGGCAGAGATTACTCTGTTCCTCGGGAACGCTGTAGGGATTAAGGATAACATTAGAGACAGTGAGGGCAGTAGGTAATAATATGGGCACCAGAGCCAGGCTGCCTGGGTTTGAATCCTGGCTCTGCCACTTACTAGCTGCATGACCTGGAACACATTCTCTGTCCTCAGTTTTCTTAACTGTAAAGAGGGAATGATAGCAGTTCATATCTCCTAGTAGGTACTGGTTAATATTTGTAAAATATTTGTAAAATACTTAGAACAGTACCTGGTACATATTACTCTTTTAGTGTTCATTAAATAAATTGTTTCTGGCACCATGTAATAATTAAAGGGAGCTAATATTTGTATTTAATGTGTAATTGATTCCATGTGAGGACAAATCCTGAAATTTTTGATAGTCATATAATATGTGGGGTTTTTTATTATTATTATTATTATTACCAAGTCCTTAAAGCCTTATTAAATACAAATCCTCAGAGGAATAAAGAAAGTTTATCATTTATATTCTAAATTATCTCTGCTTGATGAAAATTAATTTTTTTTCCTGAGGGACTGTCAGTATAATTAGTAATGTGTAATGAGACTCATTCATCTGACTTGTGCATCCCAAGTCCCTTGTCTTTAGCTAAAGGCCAATGCTTCCTTTAGGAGTTGACCCAGGGTTTCTGAGTGGCCACTATCTCCCATTATTGCTTCTAACAATCTTCCTGTTTACTAGGAGACCTTGAGACAAGGTTCTTGTATATAAAATTCCAGCTTTGTGCCCTGCAACCAAAAAAGAGTGGGGAGCCTGCGGCAGATTTCATTAATAAAATATTTATTAGTAGTCTTCCATTTGTTATCCTCTCGCCACTAGCATGAGGTAAAATGTAAAACAGCTTTGCCTCAGCAAACCCAATGAGACCTTATCTTTATCCTTCCAGCCTACTTAGCCTTGGCAGCACAGTAAGCCTGGGATATGGAAGGGGACTTTCAGGGTTTGTTTCATATTGTTTTGTTTTCCATCTCCGCCTCCCCACTCCATTTTGGGCTAAGGAATTGATTTGCTTCTTAGTTCACTGAACTCTCTCATTGGACAAATAGATGTCTTGCTCTGGTCAGCAAGATGGCATTCTGTCTCAGCTGTGCTGATTGTATTTGTGCCCTT